GAGGCGGTACTTTGTCACATCACTCCTACTCTAACTTCCACTCTCATTCCTACATTCACTTCCACGCCCACCCCCATTCCTATTCCCAAAAAGCCAAAGACCACGAATTTCTATACAAATATTTCGTCTTTTTTGGCATTAAAAAGCCTATATCCTTTTTTAGGTTTAAAAAAAAAATTTCTGTGTACCAAATTTCATTTAAATCAGTTCAGTAGTTTCGGAGTTAAAGCCTGACAGACAAAACGACAAAGTTACTTCCGCATGTATAATATTAGTATAGATAGTATAGTTTATAAGTTACAGCGGGTTTATTTATATTTGTATCAAATCTAGAGATGGTATGACATTTATTGTTTTAAAATGAACAATCAATCTATCCATATACTAGACGTGATTTTTCTGATTTTTTCAAACTAAAAAAAGTTCGACTCGGGCAGAACTTGAACCGGCATCGTCAGCGTTCCGTGCTGTTACTCTACCAATTGAGCTACCGAGATTTTTTTTTCAATATTTATAATATTTTTAAATAATATAGTGCCTTCAAGAGCAATAACATGTGAAAAATATTTAAGTTAAGTAATCATTTGTTGAGACGGTAGCTCAATTGGTTGTAGATGCCGATGTAAGTTACGCCCTTATCGTAAATTTTATTAAATCTAGATAAATTTTTAATTTAAACAATAAATGGATTTAAAACCAATTTTTTTATAAATTATTCTCCAACTAAAAAATACGCTACAAAAATCCATCCAGCAACCTCGGAGTTTGAAACTGCTGTCCCGTAAAAAGCCAGTTACGGCAGGATATTTTTTACAAAAAAAGTTTTTGTGCCTCCTCTGTTTTCACCGTAGTTGCCTCCAGTTAGAACGGTTCTCATTAAAAACCTACTATTTGTTCCCATAAGTCTACTTAGTCTGTGCAAACAAAACCACAACGTCAGCCTTTCATAATCAAACACATTCGATGTGCAAATACGGATGTTTTGAGCCGTAATGCATTATCGGGTATTAAACATTCGTTTCGTTTTAACAGATTCGTTACGTTTCTAAAAATACAATTAAATTCGGAGCTTTTTTAATACGCTGTCAACCTATTTTGGTTTGGATATTCGGAAATCCACAGACTGAAACCGAAACGCGATTAAGCTTCACGGCTTTTCCATCTGTGGACGGTGATTCGTGACCCTGACGGAATTCGTATATTCCTGCCACCCATTTAATATCGAGGTTTCAGACGATGTCCAGCTTGCTTCAGAAAAATTTTTGATTGAAAAATTTGAAACACCGGTGGGTATTAGCTATACATTGCTACCATTAGAACTACGAACCCGTCTAACTAAATAGGCGTGACATTTATTTATTGCAAGTGCAATAAATCTATATTTTCATAATGTGTTTGAAATGCTTAGGAATTTTGAAGACAAAGCTGTATTAACTCGTTATGGTGAACTCACAGTAGGTACTTGAAATTTATTTTTTCCGCTGACCTCAATCTTGTGATTTTGGAATATGTAATAAAGAGTCTAATTGCGTGTCTGTATAAATAGAAAATCAGATATCGCTTCCATGATGACGTGTAAGATACGATAGCACAATTGTGGATGCCAGCGAAAGTCACGTCCGTGTCGTCAATTTTTTAATCTAAATAGTTTTGTAGTATGTAGTGTATAATTAATAGTAAGCAGTATAGGTACAATAATAATAGTTAAAATACTGAATATGAGAATGAGAAAATGACAGTTCGTATCGCACCGTATTTTCCGAGGCTTTCGTAGATTCGAGAGTGGGAGTTAAACAAATGTTAATAGAATTATATATACAGTATATATGAGACTAGCTGAGTCAGTGACTTCGTCCACGTAGAATTGTTATTTTGCGCATCAAGTTTGTTTTTGCAAATCTGTCGCACTCTATAAATGTAAGCTTTTACCCACGACTTCATCCGCATCCCGTCGTTCCTGCAAGTTAATCTTAAGAGATAGATATATAACGTCACAATCATTTTTTAGATCATATAAAAAAGGATAAACTCTCTCATACATATTTTTTTGGTGTCTTGAACCGTTTTCTTAGGATACGCATCTGAAACCCACAGAGATGAAGAATTTCCCCCGTTGTGTTCACATTTCCCGCTGTATCTTCGCTCCTATTAGACACAGCGCGATGTTTTATAGCATATAGCCTTCCACGATAAATGCTCTAACCAACACAAAAAGAATCAATCCAAACCCATAGTTCCTGAGATTAGCGCGTTCAAAAAAACAAACTCTTCAGCTTTATATATTAATATAGATTACTGCGTGATATTAAAAGATTTAAACAATGCATAAAAATTGTAAATTTATATTGTTCGTTCAGCATAAATATATATCATAGATTTAAAAAGATGTAATACAAAGTCGAAAACTTTAAGGACCTGTTTACACATGTAAACTACCAAGTAGTTAGCAACTGATAATCTCATGCGATAAGTAATTTGAGTCCTAAACATACAGAAAAGGACAGAACTTGTGATGTTTGTTAAGTCTTCCAATCATTGATCGCCTATAATTGGTATAAAAAATAAAAAAACTTGTTCTTCTATAAAAATGTTTTCTTAGTGTTAAATAGTAAAAACTATATTTATATTTTTTTCGATTGCCTACTCAATCTATCAATAGTCTATCTATCTATACTAATATAAACAGCTGAAGAGTTAGTTTGTTAGAACGTACTAATCTCTGGAACTACTGGTTCGAATTGGAAAGCTATTTCTGTGTCGGTTAGAGCATGTATTGAGGAAGGCTATAAAATATCGTGTGAAACAGGAGCGATAGAAAATGTGGAAAAACGGGGACAAATTTATCTTTGAGGATATTCGTTGTCGTGCTCTGCGAATTAAGTAAAAAATATGTATGATAGAATGATAGAACTTTAAATGATCTAACAAAATACTGTCTATAGTTTACGCGAGTAGTACACATTTAAATAAAACACTTTAACGGTTTAAAAGTCAACAGTCACCCCATGACCACGGCTGCTGCAAAGCCTCCAAAACGTCGGGCCGAAGTTAAAAATCATTTTCAAATAAGTATAACTAATATATCGCGTTTTAAACCGTTAAAGTGTTTTATTTAAATGATCTAACAAAAATCCGCGACACTAGCACTCTTTTTACAAATCGAAGACTAACTCTCGAGCCTGGTTAAAACCCTGGTTTACTTGAAATTCTCATTACAAAACTAAGTTTAACGTTTGTGCTGGACTAACTATGGAACCTTAGAACATAGTTTAAGAGTTAAACCAAGACTCCACAGTCCTGGATTAAGTTTTTTTTTGTAATAAGGCCGTATTACAGGAGATAGACATTCTTTTAAGCCAACTATTCCGCGGACCAGCAAGTTTTAAATAGAATTATAAAGATCTGTTTCCTACCTTACAATTGCAATATGCATCTCAATAACTATATCATCATGGATAATCTCTGCAAATCCCGGGATGGGGGGTGAGAAGGGAAAGCTTGTCAGCAAACAGAGATCGGGCAAACATCGATGGGGAATTGAAATGAGTATTAATATTCAATTGTGATGTGAGCTATAATTATGAATGTCAAATACATTGTAACTGTTTGTGTAAATTAAAATTACAATGATTATTCTACTTTTTAATTGATTTTCCCAGTTATATGACAACTTAACAAGATGCGCTATCGACTAAAATCCACTGACTTAAATAAAGAGATCAAATTTCACAGCTTCATTTGTTGATGGTCGTTCATGGCCCGAGAGAATTTCCATATTCCCACCGCCCATTTCATAGCCGGTTTTTTATACCAAAATGTAACAGAAAATTTGGAAATTGATTTTAAAATTCTTGTTTAATGTGTGACTGGTTTTTAATAGAAAAAATAGTGTTTTTTTGAATCGTTATATGATCAATGAGAATAAACAAAAACTTAAATACTGTCTGTAGTTTACGCGAATAGTACACATTTAAATTGTCTCCCCGTGACCACGACTGCTGCCTGCTCCTTTTAATTACCAAGTTTTTATTACAATTTCTTACGTACTTAATGTGTAAATTTTCTTCCTTGTTAGAGCGGGTTCCTTCATACACCAAGCATTTTTATCATTTAATTATTGGGTTGTTCGGAAAGTCATTTCGTTTTTTTTGGACCATGAAAGACAGTTTTCGTATAATGAATAAATATTTTATTAAATTATATATTGGCCATTCTGGTCCACACACCTTTTGCCATCTCGTGTGGTTATTCGCCGATTTGCATCAACTAATGCCTTTGTCGCATCTTTGTTAGATTCGACCGGCCTTCCAGACCGTGGTGCATCTTCGACTTCAAAATTGCCAGATCGAAATTTTGCAAATTTGAGTTCTGGCACTGGCGTACTGTTAACACGCCTTCTCCATACAAATCCGTCAATTTTTTTCTCGGTTGGATAGCATTTTTACCTTTTCTGAAGTAAAATATGACGAGATGCTGCTTATTGCTCTCCATATTTAAAAGGGCACCAACCAAAAACTAGTGTGTAGAATTAATTGAAACTTTTTCACACACAAGCCTTGAAAGATCAGCTCTCAAGACATATAATGGTTATGCGGCTTAAGTGTGAAGTTGGTTTCAAAAAAACGTAATTAAGTCCTCTGACGGGAAAAAACGAAATGACTTTCCGAAAAACCAAAATTCCCGATTTCCGAATTTCCGAAATTCATTTCGTTAATAACCCTTTCCAAGCAGTTTTTGTTTAAAATAAGATTTAAACTTATTTATTGACTTCACTAGGGATTTTATTAAAATACCGAAGGTATGCAGTTACCTTGAAAAGAATTACCTGTTTTAGTAAGTAAGTAAGAATCACGTTCAGCCGTTGGTCATGATATAGTTATAGCCTGCCAATCCACACTGGAGTTGCGTGGTGGGTTTATGAGTGTGCGAGAGGAAAGCTGTGCCTAGTTGGATCAATACATAGAAACGAAACGACACTGACTGACATAATCATTTTATATTCAGATATTTATCGGGATCGTGTTATTTGGCTCAACGACATTCTCTTTCCGAGCTGCCAAGCAGAACAACGGAGTATCTGAGAGAGATATAGATATGCTAAATAGTTTTCTGAGAATAGAATTGTAAGATATCTAATAGAAGGCTTATTGTGTAACGTTTTATCTCAAACTCAAAACTATAAATTATGGCAAATAATTCATATTTTTAATTTAATAATTTTATACAAAGAATAGTGCTCGAGAAATGGTTGAGAAAACTTAAAAAGTAAAACCAAGTAAAAATCTATTATATATGTAAAAAGTTGTTAACCCGTATTTAATACCTGTCTATAGTTTACGCGAGAAGTACACATTAAAATAAAACACTTTAACAGTTTAAAACGCGATATATTAGTTAAACTTATTTGAAAATGATTTTTAACTTCAGCCCGACGTTTCGGATGCTTTGCAGCAGTCGTGGTCACGGTAAGACCCGGTTATCTAAACCCGTATTTTTTCTGGAATCCGTACTCAAACTCGGTAATAGAAAAATAATTAGAATATATGCAATAGTTGACAAACCCGACTTTTGACCCTACCAGGGTCATGAACCTTCTTCCACAGATGGAACATCGAACAGTTATATTATATATTTAGATTATTATATGTTAAGAAAATTTGATGTAATGTGCGCTTTTGATAGCGTACATAAGCCAGCCGCGGTCATGTTATCATTGTATCAACCTTTTACATGGTCAGGTCATTCGAGCCGGATTATGTACAATATGACGTATTTAATACAGCGCAATCGACCTTAAAGCCTCTCCCTAGAACCTCATACTGCTTAGGTCAAGCGGTTTTAATAAAAACGTCTTCGTAAAAAGCTGTTCAAGCCGTCAAAGCGATATCCTCAGGGCTCTTGTCAAAGCATTCTTTAACGGCTAGGCTGCTAATGACAGCTTTGGCCTCAAAGAAAAGCTATATTTTTAAGTTTTAGCAATATCTTAGTATCGGAGCTTTGTGCATTACAAAGTTTCGCTTTGCAGTTAAGCATAGCGTAAACTTGGTAAAGGGATGGTTTTATGTACGGCGTTTAATGCGTCTGTTAGTGAGAAGAGTTTGAAGTTTATATAATAACTAAATTAACTAATGTGCTTCTTAAATTAAAACAAAAGGGTGAACTACTACTCATAAAACACTAACTACTACACTAAAAATAATTTTCAAATAAGTTTAACAAATATATCGCCTTTTAAACGGTTAAAGTGTTTCATTTAAATACTCCGGTTTCCTTTAACGGACGAATAACCTACTTCCAAAGGTAACTCTAGACCGGGACTCGTCAAATTACATTTATATGTGACATATAATTATCGTACGTACATTGTTCAAATGCGCGTGCGTCACAAAGTCGAAAAGGGCAGATACTAATATATCATAGATCATAGATTTTCATCAGTGACTCTCTTACGCAATATGTTTAAAATTACGTGGTTTTTCGGATTGGTTCCCATTTTATCATCATCATGTTTCATTTTTATTTCCCCTTATATAGCAGGCCAAAGAACCAAAGAATCTCTTCTTAAAATATAAATAGAAGTTTCTTCTACTCACCAACTAGAAGAGTGTAGCAGATATAGACAGTGCGAGTGAGGCACGCGCGAAATGGGACGCGCGGCATGGTGCGGGGGAGGGGTGCGAGCGAGACAGAGAACAGCTCATCTGCACGGCATCTGAGGGAGATATCATCACTCATAAGTATACAATATATAGGTTTTTTATAAAGTACATATAAAAATATGTGCTGTATTTTAATATTTTTCACATGGGGCATTTCATGTCAAGCTTGGCATGGAATGCCCCATATGTTATTGCACATTTAGACTAAAAAAGTGCGCGAGAGCTGCATACCTAATAGGTTAAAAATCTACGATGACGTGTAAGCCACGGTAGCTCAAACGTAATACAGAAATCTAAATAACAAACTATACAGTTTATAAAATACGACGTAAACAAATACAAAAACAATAACTTGAACCAACAACTGTTTTTTATTTATCTGCATCAAAATTCTATCCGGGAACCACCGTTCATAGTTAAAAAATCCGTGATGTGTAAATTACGGTTCCTATTCTAAAGCAAAATCCATGTTCGTATGTTATCCTATTACCCTTTCATAATTACAATATTACGCGGAATAACTATTCCCAACGTACACCATTTTAACGGAGAGAAAGCCGAAGAGTTTGTTTGATTGCGGTAATCTCAGGAAGTAGTGGTTCGAATTGAAATTATTTCTGATCAAAATCATCTTATGGCATTTGAACTTTTTCCAGGTCAGCTAGTCCAAACGTAAAATATTGCACGACCAGAACGCGCAGCGCACTTAGAGAATGTTATTTTAAAACCGCGCAAAGTTTCCCCGACCTAGAAGAGTCGGCAAGAAACTGAATAGTACGATTAGAGCAGCTAACACCGGGGGCGTAGCTAGTCCAGTAATAAGAGTTTTAAACTTGAAGCGCATAATCCGTGCTTAGCTAAGCTGTTAGACTTCGCTTAATCGCACTCCACACGGATCGCGCAGGCTTCTCGGATTATCTTCTAAGCCGTTTGAAGCCGAATCCTGGACACTTGTTATCGTTCGATACTCAAATATCAATTACCGCTCGTCAGCATTTATTTTTAGCAAATAGTAATTACTATCTGCGCTCGCGTGGAATAATTATTGAGCATCTAAATTTATGTTTGCACGTCCTCGCTTTAAAAATTCTGTTGTAACCGACTCGATCTTGTTGTTGCTACTTAATCTTAAAATACGTAGTGTCGCGTACGCCTTATATTTGAAACTAGCTGTGCCCGCGACTTCGTCCGCGTCCGGAATAGTGAGTTGGGGTAGAATTTTTAATTATTTAGGCTATTTATGTTGTATAGCAAATCTATGTTGTAAGTGTTGTAAGTCAATTTTGCCACAACACTCTCACCTCACATCACTCCCACCCCCACTCCTCTTCCCAAAAAGCCAAAAAAGAAAGTTTCATTGTTCTAGCTTCAAAAACCACGAATTTCCATACAAACTTTCATCCCCTTTTTCGACCCCTATTAACCCTTTTTTGGCATTAAAAAGCATTAAAAAATTAAAAAAGTAGCATATGTCCTTTCTCAGGCTCTATAATATCTGTGTACCAAATTTCATTTAAATCAGTTTAACCGTTTCGGAGTTAAAGCCGGACAGACACTAAGTATAGACTATTTTACTCAGTGATAATGTATCTTTCTAATGAAAAAGGAAATATTAAAATCGGTCCAGTACTTTTTGAGTTTATCCGTTACATACAAAAATACAAATCTTTCCTCTTTATGTCCCATCGTTCGGGTCGTTCTTGCAAGTTAATCTTAAAACATAGACATATAGCGGACTTTTTTTTATATCATTTAAAGGAGAATCATTCTTTCATACATAATTTTTAGTTATCTTGAACCATTTTCGCAGCGTACGCATCTGAAACCTACCGAGATGAAGAATTTCCTCCGTTTTTTTTCACATTTCTCGCTGTATCGTCTCGCTATTATCCTATTAGAGTCACATCGGAATATGTTTAGCCTATAACCTTCCTGGATAAATGCTCTAACGAACACAAAAAGAATTTTTCAATTCGAACCCGTACTTCCTGAGATTAACGCGTTCGACCAAACAAACAAACAAACTCTTCAGCTTTATATATTAGTATCGATAGAGCTGAAGCAAATATATTCAGGAAATAGTAATTATTTGAATCGCATTTTAGGACCTACATAATATTATTTCGGTCTTCCAACGCCTAAGTACGCTGTACTTGTAACACAACTTCTGTCTTGCCCCTTTATTCTTATTAATGCGAACTAAGAAATGTATTTTTGTCCAACGAAAAAAAACGGCTATAAGGCTAGCTTATATTAACAAACCAATATTAGTATTTATCTGTTTGCTTTTATCCTCTTTTAGTCGAAGTAATTTTAAATAAGGTGAATAAGGATTCGTCTCGCTTGATAAAGCTACTCAAGTTAGCTTAAAAGTTAAATCGTAATCAAGTTTAACGGATAGCGATAAGCTTTATAACAAAGCTTAAAGCGCAAAAGAACTAGAATTTTCAATTAACTCCGTCAAAAACTTGAATCTCATTGTTATAGAGAACTAAGACTAGCGTTTGGATTACCTAGTATTAAACAGAATTTAATATATGTATTATTTAGTAGATGGTGATTCTAGATATGTTGCTGAAAAGAGGGATCTCAGTATAGGTATATAGTTTCTCAAAAGTAAGAATCAATAATGCTTTATCCGAGTTTATTTTATAAAATATATTTCGGAAATTATCATAATTTACATTAATTTTTATGTTTAAATGCATAATATTCTGTTTCCTAAGTTTCACAACCCGATGTTGTGCGAAGATTAAATTTACATTATTTCTTTGAGTTAGAAAAGTTAATAAGGCCGCGTCGTAGGAAAGTGGTTAAACGTGCCAACTTTTGCGTTAAGTATTAGAAGTTCTGGGTTTGAAACCCGGGGAACAATAAATAGCTTCAGTCGGGCAGAGCGGAGAAGTCTGATTAACTATTTACCTATAATTATAATCAATCCATAAAACGGATTTTAACCCCACAAGATAATTTCACTGTAAAACACAAACGCCTCAAAAATTTTAGATTTCAATAACATTTTTATCACGAATACAACTTCATATTTTAATTACCAATTTGCTTTCTTTTCTCTTTGTAGTCCCAAAGAACGTGTACAGATAATCTACACGACGCGGACCTACACCTCCTTGCTAAATACACAATAGGGAACTGTCAAATTTGACAGCCGCACAGATTACATTATGTCAGATTGTCAACGAGTGGATGCGAGGGATTCGGGAGTTGATTATTGTCCCCGAGGGAACACCGGCCCTTATCGCAATTCGAATGGTATTAACATGGATTAAGTTTGAATCAACGTTATGCTAATGAGAGGTCATTTACAATTTAAATGCGAAATTCTCTGCATAACATTACTTCTAGATAATACAGGGAACTCGCTGTAACGTGTCTCAAATACGTATTCAACTTGCGTCTATAAAACTACTTTTATTATCAATAATTAATACTAAGTAATCCGTTTAACTTAGTTGTCTTAAAAGTTATTTATTTATTTATTATTTATTTATTTTATTGAATAGTTGTCTTTATGTAGCAATAATTATTAACATTGATAAATTTGGTAAATACAAATTTTCACGACAAAGTTGACATCAAAAATCCCTAATAATTCTTATTTATACATTTACAATTTTAAAATACGTAACCATGTCTTCATTTGTCACATATGTACATGTTAATTCATATTTGATAAACTGTCATATTTAAAAATATAAGAATACGATACAATAATAAATATTCTACACATATCGTACTGAAGTTAGACTAACCTTTAAATAGTCTTTAAGCTATATAAAAGAAGTACATTTAAAGATTGGAATAATAAAAATATAGTAATAAATGTATCGATAGAATGAAATCTTGCGTAAATCTTTAATTTTGTAAACAGTTCCGTGATGTTGCTCTACAGCTTTTAGGACCCGGTAGCTCAATTGGTAGAGCAACAGCACGGTTCAAGTCCTGCCCGAGTCGAAAATTGTTTATTTATAATTTTTAAATTATGAACCTAATTTTGTTAAAGTTTGTACATTATTTTGATATAATGACTAAATAATATAGCAAAACTATACTAAGCTATCAGTCTGTTAAATTGTTGACAATGTTATTTTTTGTATTGTGTACTTACCGCGAAATAAGGGACGGAACGCAAAACAACACAACCGCCCGTTTCGAGCGACGCGCAAATACTAAAATTTTGGCACGAACCCCTCCCGCATAACAGCCCCTATCAGCTTAGATCAAATCACGCTTCACGATCCGATACGATTTAATATAAATGATGTAAGATTCGTAGGTCAAGAAACGGTTACAGAACTGATGTTGATGATATCTGGGTCTAGAGAAAGAGAAAGAGAAGACTTCTTAAAGAAGAAAGTAATATATATAAACACTCTATCACGCCCTACCATCATCTTTATTTTCTATCTACTCTAGTGTTCTTTCTACCTTTCTTTGAATCCCTAACCCAGCACCGAATAATTATGGCAAAAAACCTTCCAAATTAGACAAAATAATGTTTTTAAATTTTTAAACCCTTTTGCGAATATAATTTTCAGCCTATTATTTTACATAATGTATTATTAATCTATTAACAAATTTGTAACGCTATCATCAATAGAAAATGGTACAAGGCATCTTATTATAACTATAAAACAAATGAACACAATACTGCATTATACTGTTTTGTGTAGTCGTAATATAAAAGCGTGGAAAATCCTGCGTATTTACATTCAGCAAAATGTCGTATCCAAGTCGTGGGGTGTCAATGGGACTGTGTCCCTGTCTTTTAATGCTTTTCCTGCTTCTGGTGAGTTTTTATTAGTCCTACGTAATTATACATTTAAAATATTACTTGTTTTTATCAACCAAGGCAATTTATTGTCAAAATAATTTTAATTTCGAATTACATCGATGGCGACGCTCCAGCAAAGCATGGCTGTCGTAGTGGGTTCGAGTACCACCTGTGTCCTTGTTATATTTGTTTAAACACTTACTATAACACGCTAACAAAGTTCTTGTTGATATATGAAACATCAAATCGTTCTTGTGGACCTAAGGTGTATAGTAGATAATAAT